TCTAATACCAGCTGTCCTGCTGAATGTATTGGAAGCTGTCATTGCTATTGGCCCAGATTACAGATGTCCCAGCTGTGCTGCTTATTCGGCGCCTGATGATAGTATTGCAGGAACTGTGGCGTGTAGACAACACATAGAGGTGTGACTGTGAGTGACACTTAATGAGATCTGGAGAACGACACACATAAATCACCAGCAGCACGATGACAACGCTCCTCTGCCGCTGCCCTTAGTTACTGCGAGGTTGCTAACAGTGACACGCATAGCACTCATTTCTTAAGGTGCCTCCCTGCAGCGTTAAAGGATCGCACACACACACACAAAATTATAACACCTGAAATGGTGATCTGATCTGAGGGAGGAGTGCAATTATAGGCGTCGCAACCTCAGTTGTAAATCTAGCTGCATTCCTGTGGAGACATTTAATTAGCCCATTCAACCCCACTCCACACACACACACACACACACTTATAATATGCATACATAGGCTACACAAAGTAACACACTGTACCCACACCTGAGGGATAAACCTGTATTTCTTGTGCCAGATGAAAGTACAGTGTGGTTTAGACTGGTCTGGGGGAAAAAAGCAGTTCTCTACTTTCTACCTCAGGGTTCAGGACATTTCTGTCTTGGACTGTTACATGTCTTCATAAAACATTAAGGGGTGATGTAAATCAGAGGTGGACATTTGAACACACACACAAACACAGGACGCATAAATAGACCGGGTATGGTAGGTTTTTAGTGAAAAGGACAGAGTTAATGCGCGGTCGCTAAAGATGTTGATCTGTTGCTTCCCTCTTCTGGAGGCAATCAGCCATTACAGATCTAACTGCAATCAGATGGTCCACATTCATCACACATGTGCCCACAGCGATGTTTCTACTCATTCTAGATAATTAGGCCTGAGTGAAAGAAATACATTTGCTTGTACTGCACGCGTGCAAACATTTCACTGCAAACTTTTAATGTGGAGTATGCTATTAGCTGTGGGTTGCCTTTCACTTAAAGTGACAATGACCAACACAAAGTTGAGGGAGTGCATTCCCAACCTCAGACTATTTGGGGAGTGTGTGAATGCAGTGCGAGCCAGCATTAACAAACTCTGTGTCAAAATGAGTTTTTGCTTTTCCATCTTAGACAATTAAAACATTCGCCATGAAATGCATTCAGTAAGATGACCCTAAATGACAGTGATTCGGCCCTGTCCTGAGTTGAATCTGGCAAAACTTGTGAAAATACTTGTGCGACTTGATTATGAATGTGGAACGCCATAAATGCTTTTGAAATATGAAAATAAAAGTTAAAAAAATCGGTTTAGATCACTATTCTGAATACAGCTCTTATTCAACTCTAGTTGTTCTAGAGTCTCACTTGTGAGCGGCGCACCTTTGGGGGAGTGTGTGTAAGTGGATATATTAGGATGGCCCAGAGCCACTGGAGGATTATGTGCTGCCAGCTGGGTCCTGTCACCTGTATGCTTAGTTTATAAAGAATTTGGCGTCGGGCCTTCTCTGATGGTACTGTTTTCTCACTTGTGTCCGACTTTCAGACTATTTGTAAATTGATGCTCTCTCATTTATTCTCAGCGCATCAGACCCCACGCCCCACATCTGATAAACCTGGCTGTGCCTTCTGACCAGATTAGGAGACAGCTGGAGAAGCTACATGACTTCCACTGCTGAAACAAAAAAAAAATCAGCTAAATAAAGTTGTTTTTCTTCTTCTTTAGTAGTTATTTAAGATGCACTTAGGAACAGATATTTTAACTGCAATATTTAAATAAGTTGGATTTGGATACCGGAAAACAGACGACACCTACTCTTGTGCTCCAGTCTAGTCTCCCTACAATGTAGGTGTAACCATCTTCATTGTCATGCCAACTTGTAACCATGAAAAAAAGGGGGCCTATAATCTGCCCTCTGCTCCTCCATCATCCACTCTCAGACTTTCTCATCATTTATCTTTTTCACACATGCACAAACACACACTTTCACCAACACCAGACATTTGTAAGTGAAGTGGGTCAGAGGGCGGAGGAGATGAATGGAGGTCTGAATAGCAGGATGGAGAGATGAATGGATGGCTGAATTAATGGGAGAATGGGTGGATGGATTGATGGATGAATGAGAGAAGAAGATGTAAAGAGGTCAGAGAAGCACAGACTGGCTGCGCTCCAGCACAGGCCAAGGGCGACATCTCTTCTAAACCTGTTATGAGAGTGAGTAAAACATCAGGCTGGAATGATGGTGGCGGATTTTTTAATATTTAATTCAAGACCTTTTACACAAAATTGGAGGGAATGCAGGGATATCTAGTTTGGAATGGACCGGTAAAGAATGTAGATGTGGGAAATGTCCCAACAGGTTAAAATGTTAAAGAAAGGACAGAGTAAGGACAGGTATTTTACTCGATATGTTCATTCAGCATCTGAAATCATGGGCATTATAATAAATAAGATCAATAAGATCCCCAGCATAAAACTTAAGCGACACCAGTGATGAGAGCAGACTTGCTTTTGCATGGTTTTTCTTTGTCTGGTACATCAGGCCACCAATAGCTTGCTAATTTGTGGATTTCTCAACATGTAACAATGCAATTTTTAGCGTTATTATCCTTTTAAAGTGTTTCCTGCTCCAGTTTTCTTTAAATATCCAGTGAAAAAGAAAAAGCAAAGCCGATAAATATATATGAGGATCACTGACTTCAGCAGCATCAACGGTGAAGAAAGAAAGAGCGTAGCGTGTGTAGGATGTCCTTCAAGGCAACACGGCCTGTTTCGTATGGTTGGTAGACCTTCAATAAATAAACCTTCTCTATCACAGGAACAGATTCCCTGCTGAGACGGATAGAACGGGCTCACATCTAAGTGAGTGTGCTCCAGAGGAGTGTGTGTATTGCCGGGTGCATGTTGGTATGTTTGCTGCTCGATATGTGTGGAAGAATGCGTCTCGGAGCACATTTGTCTAAGCGTGTGTGTGCTTGGTACATGTGTGCGTGTGTGGGTCCATTTGTCTTGTTACTAGTTTAAGCTGCCAAAGTAATCACCATGAGAAAGACTCTGGAAACGAACTCTCTAACCTTCACAACCCCTGCCCTGGCAACTATAGGAGCCACACACACACACACACACACACACACACACACACACACACACACACACACACACACACACACACACACACATTTTAAATAGATATTATGCTCTGAATGTGGATGGTTTTTTTTTTTAACATGACCAAAGTTGCAAATAAAAATATCTATGCTCTGTATGGCATTATAGTGACATGACAGGCTTAATATGGTCATCTCAGGCATGCTATTGTGCTTGTACTTGTACAACTTGTCTACTGTACCTACTGCTTAAACCTTCTGTTTGTCAGTGACAACGAATCAGAAGAATTCTGTCTTAAAAGGAGCTTTTTAGGGAAAGGAGCTAAAACATCTCGTTTCGAACAGTGGATGAAATGAGACAGCATCAAGTTCCAGTGTAAGATAAATAGAATGTAATTATTAATAACGAATAGAGTTAAAGAATTAAAAAAACAAAACAAAGCATGGAGCTAGAAAGAAGCATAAAAGGGTCAGTTTTAGGTAGCAAAAACAATGACAGAATTCAGCTCATTGCATGTGAAATACAACAGGATAGGATAACATACTGGGCTGGAATTTACATTGAATGGTGGGTAAATGCTAGAATAAACTGAAACCAATACAGTATCTCTGTCTCCTCAGTATTCATGCAACATGGGTTGCTGTAGCTTCTGAACCATAGCAACAGTACAGACAGCAGGAGCAATACTTCAGCTGCTGGAGGGAGAAATGAACAAGAAATTGGCCTTGAATTGTCCATGCAGCAAAGCCTGAAAGTTATACCTCACTCAGGCTCAAGCGATGCAAACATCTAGAAACATAAATTTGTCCCATTAACAGAATCTACTCTTGTTTTTTCATCTCATCTCTGACCTTACATTCAGTACATTTCTGTATCAGTTAATTCATGTTTTGTGTAGTTGATATATATATAAGTATGCACACTAGATCTTAACTGAATATAGAACTATGAGTAGAGCCAGTTATAGGATAAAATCCAATATTTAAATATATTAGTCAACATTTTTTTTCTTTCAGAAGCAACAGTTTTCTCTAATATTTGTTATGTCCAGCTATTTATTTACTCATTTATACTCTTCCAGACTCTGCACAGATCAATTTGTTTTTGTGCCGTTCAAATGTGTACTGCCAAGAGGAAAGTTACAGATTCAATTTTAACAGATACAACATCAACACTCATAACATGGCTGAAGGGTGTTTCTGCCATCTCTTCTTAGATTTTTATTTTCATTATAAATGCTCATGCCAGCCAACAATAACAGCCAGCCAATAAATCAGGCTCTAGCTATGGAGGTAGCTGTCACTGGGTTTATCCAACACTGATAAAGTAAAAATGGTGAATAAATGGTGAAATTCAAAAGGAGAGACACAAATGCATTACACTGCTAACACAACATCAGCTCTTTGCAAGCATCCACATACAGCATGCTAACGCAAAGCTAGCAAAGAACCCAGTGATGTTAAAGGTGAGTATCTGCAGACCCCAGTTCAGTGGCCCAAGCCTGAACTTCAACAGGTAACATAAGCAGTTATGGGCAGAGTTGCAGCGTTGTAGCCTTCATTTCTACCTTTTCGTGTTTCTAGAGTAGAATCATTTTGGCGATTGCTTTTGAGTCTGTTTGGTCTGGTTTTCAACTTAGCTTTGTGCGCAGGTACGTATGGAAACACAAAGAGAAAGATCTTATGTGTCCTCATGAGGATAGGGATTTGTGTTACTGTGTGGAACTGTAGCCTAAGGATTATATTGTTAACTGGTAATGTGTCTCAGGTCATTTTACAGGGTAACCTGAAAGCAAGTAGACAAATTCTGCCTGTTTTTTGGTACATCATAGTTGTAAAAAAGCATTTGTCACAGAATAAAACATATCGCAATGCACACAGACCTCTCTACGACATCTTGGCCGCTCCAGCATGTGTGCTGCTCCACTTCCATCTCACTTTCACAAAGCATCTCTGGCAACTCGGTGAAAAACCACTGGTACCGCTGGATAGAGCCCTCAAACTCTCTGAAAAAGAGTAGGAGTTGTGCACAGCTGAATGCTCGGGTTGTTGTTAATAAGAGTTGAGGCGGTGTACCATATGCCTTTATTTGTCTCAATTTAGACTGTCAAGTCCAATTCGCTGCAAAATCCCTTCTGATAGACCGAAGGCAACAAAAGGAAGCCACACAGACTCCCTTTAGATAATGACTGTGTAATAAAAATCCGATATTTGGTTTCATTTACTACGTTTTCTTAGAGTTTCAAGTTTAGGAAAATACTATATCATTTATGTGGAACAATTACATGAATTACGTGATTTTACCATGATAGTGTAATGTAATAATACAGCCATAGAGAATCATTTCACATGAATTTCTTGGAATATGACTACTTTTAATGGCAACAGACACAACTAAGGCTAGATAAAAATCACGAATCGTTATCCTCTGACTTCTTGATTTTAGGGTGATTTAATAGTTCATAAATACATCAATTACCTTGATATTTTTTTCAGGTTTCCACTCTTCTCCCCTCTGCTACCTTTAAGAGGGAATGACCTAGTGCAAACACAAAGAAATGAACAATTCTTTTCACTTGATTTCCATCAGCAACATAATAATCAAAGATGTTCTGGGACATCCTCGCCTTTTTACACACATATGTAGAAAGCACAAGGCATATGTGCCATATAGAAGCCTGAGTTTGAGAGAGGAATGGTAACGCATTCAAAAGAATGCAGGCAACAGTGACAAAAGTCAGAACATTTATGAAGTAAGACACAATGTGAAAAGAAGGCGTTGGACTTGAAGTTAGTTACAAAGCAGCTTAAATAACATGTCATATGTGAAATTTGTCAACCTAACGCCTCATGTGTGTAGGATAATAGCTGAGCCATTAGCTGGTAAGAGCTGCTCTCAGCTGATTGAGGGCTGAGCTTTCTGTTCTGCTTATGCCCATACTTCCCCTGCAATACGTGAATGACAAATATAAAAAAAATAACACTACTCCATCCTCCTTTACAGGCCCCAAATAGTTCCATCTTCTCTAACAATAAGCAATGCATATCAGCAGATCCAGTATGTTACTCACCTCCGGGATTGCAGCCGCAATCGTCGATGAACTGGTGGACCAACTGAAGGAGGCAAAGTCGCAGGCGACCTCTCCAAGTTTGCTGATGTTGTAGTGTGCACGGTAGTTGACTGTGGACCCATCATCACAGGACCAGCTGCCTGGCTGCCGCACACTTTCTCTACCTGAGGAAACACTGGATGATAACTTTGGGCTGCTTTTCAGAGGAATGCTGAATGATGTACATGGACTATTATGCACGTTTATCTAGACCACGTGTCATGTTTAAGATGTGTTCATTAGTATTGGTAAATGGATGAACTGAGAGACAATGCTAGTTTTTTCTTCCTTGCAGTAGATTAGAGATTAGACTACTTGTCAATATGCTCAGTCAAACTGGCATTACCAGTTGGAGAAGCTAACTTTGACTTATTTGACTAAGTGCTCAGCTAAGTCTTTATTGCACCAAGGATGTTGAAGCCTGTGACCACTGACTCATGTCATTAGGAGGCATGCCGAGTGCCCAGTAAATTTAATAGCTGGTAGTTTTTTGGTTATTATTGCAATAAATACACAAAAGATTAGCTTCATACCAATTATTCAGTTATAGAATGGGGATGGGCAATTAATTTTTCCCAAGGGGCTACATGAGGAAATGGGACCGTTTTTGGAAGCGCCGATATTAATTTCATTTCCTTATAGATTTAACGTTGTAAGCTTCCACGACTGTCCCATCTACTCATGTGGTCGCTGGGAAAATTCATTTCCCACACCTGCATTAGTGTTTAATTTTCTAACACTGGTTGTCAGGTTCTCTAAGAGAACAGAAATCAGTGTTGTCTTAACCTCAGCATTAAGTGTAGCCAATATTTCATTTAACCAACTGTCATGCGTCACATGGATGAAGAACTTTGATCAAATATTTAATGAAGGGGCATTTTCTTATCAGCCACAATTAGCAGTGCAATTATGTCTGTGTATGTTTGTTTACCTCTCAGGAATCTACTCTAAGTCCACAATGTTCTCTCAAAGTTGGACGACTACTCTATTGCTTCCTCCAACAGTGTGTGCATGCATGCATGTGTTTGTGTGTCGTCTGTTTGTCTACAGATTAGCCACAGAAACTTTCTCATCACTCTGAACCAAGCTGCATTCTGGGTATCGGTTGTCCCGCCAACCACAGTCTTTGTCTGGCACTGGATCTGTATTCACACTCACATACATGCTCACGCACACACACAGACTGAAGGGAACCCCAGATTCTCTAAAGAGAATGAGGCTGTTTTTAGCCCATCTAGGTACAAGGCTTTTCTAAGAAGCTCCAACTGCCAGGCTGAAAGAAACCCATGGCCTTCCTTCCTCTGTGTCCAAAATTCAAATGACTTTATTATTGAGGCATATGTGTAACGATGCTTAGGGACCGGATGCTCATCTTTTTTTCTTTCTTTTTTTGAGTTTGAAGCACTTTAACATTACATATTTAAACTTTTTTTCCCCCAGTTGATTGATTTGCATCCACATGACTACATGTCATATTCTAAACAATTATAAGTGTAGCCAGTATAAAGCAAACCAAACATCATCCCCAACATCAAATTATCTCTTTTGCTTACTGTGGCTGTGATGCGTGGCCCATGCAGCTGCGCATGTAGTATGGCATCATTTACATGGTGTCTCACAGCTAAGAGAGCTAACTCCATGCTGTTGTGGTTGCTGCTGGTTGCTAAAGTAGCAGCTAGGCGTTGAAGCAATACCACCAGACTCCCCCAGGGGCCACCCAGCTCAGATACACCCACCTAGAAAAAAAAGAGAGGAGAAAAGACGAAGAATGAGAAAATGCAGATCACATACAGTGCTTCCTCTGAATCAGAGAAGACTATCTATATCTATATATCTATATATATTCTCTTTAAGTCTTTACTCAAGATGAATTAGAATTTATTGTTGGATTTCTGTCTTTGTTGTCTATGATTTCTATCTGTCTAACATTTCACTGTGATTTTGTGCTTTTTAGATATAATTCAATTTAACTTAATAACTGAATTTCTCTTTAAATACATTGTTTCCTCCGCCTCTCCCTTTACTCTGCGTGGGTTTTTCTTTCCTTCTCATTACTGAGGAGGATAAACATGTTCAGAGTTGTTGTTTTTTTTAATCACACTTTCCTTGCATCCAAGAAACTCTCAAGTGAGACGAACAGTGCCATCTTCTAGTTTTGTGCTATAAAGAATTCCCCCTGGGCGCTGGTACAGCTGTCCAGCAAATTTCAAAGCAGACTAGTAAGAAGCACGGAAGAGACTGCCAATTCTCTTGGCAATGCTCTTGTTATCTGTCAGTCAAAATGTAATGTGGGAATGATCTGTTGGTGGTAAAATTCTCTGAATGATTCAGCAGAATGAGAGATGGCTGCATTAGTGCGAATTTGGTAACTGTCTCGCCCCTTGACAGCGGGATACAAATTCTCTGGTGCCTCCCATGCATCTAAAACACTGTCTTCTTCAAATCGCACACTGAACCCAAAAGGGAGTCCAGTAGGTTCTGCAGAGATTACAAATGAGAAGATTTAGAAGAGCAAAAGTGTCACTGCAACAATATATGTAAAATGTTTTCTTTCTAAAGCTGATCTAAACAGGACGAAACTCACTTTTCTTGCTGGGTTTATTCACTGAGCACAAAGAGCAATCGGGTGATTATCTAAGATTAGCATAAAAAGTGTAAGCTAGCCTGACTTTAACCAGTTAAAAAATATATGTACCAGAACCTCTGGAGCATAGACTGTACAGTGGGGAAAATCCCCTGTTAAATTTGTAACCTCGCTCACTTTCTGCACCAAGTACTAAGTCATGTTTTGCTTGGAGATCAAACACTTATATCACTCCATAACGATTTAAATCGATAAATCGATATATAATTATTTTGGTTATTTTGGCTGATATTCTGTCTCTCTCCATTAAAATTCAACTACATTAAAAATTGAGGCTGTTAATGTTTTTGTAACTGAGCCAACTTACAAGTTCAGCAGGGGATCAAATAATTACACTGACCAGCCATAACATTATACCCACTGAAATGTGAATAACACTGATTATCTCTTCATCACAGTACCTGTTAGTGGGTGGGATACAGTGTATTAGGGAGCAAGTCAATGTTTTGTCATCATAGTTGATGTGTTCGAAGAAGGAAAAAATAGTTAGGCGTAAAGGATTAGCTTTATATGGCCCAAACTGTGATGGCTAGGTGTGCGGGTCAAATCAGCAAGAGTGGGAGGAAGTGCCTTTCAGTTCAGTTCAATTCAGTTCAATTCAGTTGTATTTACACAGCGCCCTCCCATTCTACTTTTAAATGCTCTAAGAACAACACGTAAGCCTGCAGTGCCTGTGCAAAGTGCTCTTATAGGGGGATATGGCACCATAAGGTCATTATGATAAGATGGGAACTGCTTATTTAAGACCTTGTATGTGAGGAGCAGGATTTTTAATTTAGTTCTGGATTTAACATGGAGCCAATGAAGGAAGCCAATACAGGAGAAATCTGCCCTCTCTTTCTAGTCCCTGTCAGGACTCTTGCTGCAGCAATTCTGGATCAACTGAAGGCTTTTCAGGGAGTTTTTGGAAAAACTTTATAATAATAAATTACAGTAGTCCAGCTAAGAAATAATAAATGCATGAACTATTGTTTCAGCATCACTCTGAGACAGGATGTTTCTAATTTTAGAGATATTCCACAAATGGAAAAAAGCAGTCTTACATACAGTATTTATTTTACATTGAAAGACAAAAGAGTAACAATCTGGTTAGATACAATAGTTCTAAATTTTTTATATCCCAGTACAATGACCTCAGTTTTATCTTATTTATTTTCATATTATTATTTTATTTATTTAGCTTCATGGAAAGATACAATTGGTTATAATCCTCATAACACTAAAAATGTATGCTATGGCTTCTAATGATACAAGCTTCAAGATTCAAGGTTACTTTATTCATACCCGTAGGTACATTTGCTTTACAGAAAAATGATAGCATGTGGCAGACACTGGAAAATAACTCAAAATGTTAGAAATATTCCAGTGTTAGAAAATCAGCACTGCTCAGTGTTAGCCATTGTTAATCTTCAAAACTGACTAGGTTACTTTTAAACATATAACACTGTCAAAAGTGTTAATTTAACACTCAACAGTGTTGTATTTAACACTCAGAGGTGTGGACCCATATAGACACTCTCCAGTGTTAATTTAACACTGGAGATTTTGCTGTGAGTCCCTTTACTCTCTACATCAGGGGTGGCCAACTCCAGGCCTTGAGAGCCACTGTCCTGCAGGTTTCAGATATCACCCTGGGTGAACACACCTGAATCAAATGATTAGTTCATTACCAGGCCTCTGGAGAACTTCAAGACATGTTGAGGAGGTAATTTAGCCATTATATCAGCTGTGATGGATCAAGGACACATCTAAAACCTGCAGGACACCGGCTCTCGAGGCCCGGAGTTGGCCACCCCAGCTCTACATGTTTAAGACTCAGATTAAGTAGAGTCCTGCACTCCTCTATTGGGCATATATGCAAATTGCATTGGATCCTGATCGTGACAGCTGATGTTCAATCGCTTCCATAATCACTTTTCTGGTGATTTTTTTCAAAAACCTTAATCACGACTGAGGTAAGGGCAACAGGCCTGAAGTCGTTTAGAACTTTTGGACGACTAGATTTAGTGAGTGTAACCACGACAGCGTCTTTTCCAAAAAGAGAGTGCACATTATGTATTTGCAAGGATTTATTAAAAATAATATAGGATGATGTTCTTAAGCACAATATTTAATTAGGCGGCCATGAATGTTATCAGGACCCTGGCTCTTGTTAACATTAACTGTATGAAAGGCCTGAGCTCAGTGCTGAGTACCTTTCAGTTCCAAAATATCCTCGCTAAAATCAGAAGAACTAAAACTAGCATATAGCACATTCAAGGCGATTGCGAAATCTCTGTCTGAATTAAAACCGTCAAAAATGATCTGACTGCTGCTCTGGGGAATTTGCAGCCTTGCTATACTTTTGTCCAGGCAGACCCAAAATCCTTTGCAGCAAATTTGCTTTCAAGAAGATTTTTGTAACTCTGTTTTGCTTTCAGGATCTTTGGTGGCTGTCTGAAAGTCAGAAACAGCCCCCTCTGTCACGGTCCTGGGTGAGACTCAGTGTTTTGTATTTAATTTATATTTATTTGCTATTTGTGATTTTAGATTAAATTAATTTAATCAAATTTTGGAGTAAGCTGGAAGCTAGGCTAAGTGACCAGGAGGGAAGATCAAGATGGAATAACGTAAGAATCCAAGGTATCACAGAAGACCACAGCTGCATGTGTGGAAAGCATATCAAAAGAGAAGCTGGAAATTTGTCAGACAGTTGACCTGAACATAGAAAAGACACTTTGAACTTTGTTTTTAAAGTTACCAGCATGGGCCCGTCTGTTATTCATAGTGGTCAAGTTCACCAGCTTTAGAGCCCAAGAAGATGCTCCTTATACCAGGAAACATGACTAAGCGAGATGACTCAGGAAGCCTTGTTGGGAAAATACAGAAGCAAAGAAAGCATTAAGCGAGAGGAAAACTACACTTCCAAACTCCCTTTCCTGTGAGGCTGAGAGTTTTCTACACGGGAGTGTCTTAAAGCTCAGCAGAAGAAGTCACCAAGGATACGGCTCCCGTTGGGCTCCCTGTGATGGTACACAATAAAATGAATGACTCAATGTGGCTCACACCATGAGCTTTGAAATCGACGGGCCAACCAGCAGAAACCCATCAGCAGGGATGAAAAGCAAAACTGGTCACTTTCAGAAAGCAAGAACAAAGAGATGCTCACTATGTAGACCAAACGTCCCATCGTACCGTGAGGTAACAACATTACAAAAGCTTCTCTTTTCTTAACATTACGTTATGTCCTCTGATCCCTTATAGAGACAAGATCAGTGACTATAGGACAGATTCAGAACACACAGTGGAGACAAGTATACAAATGACTCTTTGTGCTGATGTCTTAAACAGAGACACAAAACAGAGATGAGGCAACAATCGCATTACTGTGCATCTGTGACTGCTGGACAATAGTGATCACACAGTGCTACTTAGAAGACTCTTTAATGCTAAGACATAAGTATTCTTGTTTTACACACACTGGACTATGAATGTGCTAATGACTGCATGGACCAATTTATACGTGTAAACGAGGCCCCTTCGTGAGCAATGCAGTATTAGAAACTGCCCCCAGAAGCAGCAAACAGAGACCTCAGAACAAGAAGACCTTCTGATATTGATCTGTTCTATCTTCTACATGTAATTTTTTATATTTGATTAGCTGAGGGGAAGGTTTTTTGCAAACATGTCCTTCGTTGTAATTATATAATGGAGAAACAGACAGCTTCAGTTAGTCTAGTATCATACGATGTGAAGGCTATTACTAACTAGGGGAAAAAAATCGGTCCAGCATAGCATTGTTATAGTTTGCAAAGCATTATTGTCTCTGTCAATACACTGACACCAAATACAGATTTTATAAAATAAATTAAAATACTCATCACCAAATACCATCACCACAGGGCTAATCACCAAAATCCTAAGATAACATTAGCCGAACAACGTTACATTAAATCGACTCAAATGGAAACCATCCAACACTGGCCACATTTAGATTACCAAATCTATCTTATAATTCAGAGCAAGCAAATGGCTCAGTCAAAAAACAAATAGGACGGCATCCTCCTTTCATTTACAACAAAACTGGTGGCTTCTTGGTGATGGCACTGAATT